CAGAAATCTTCCCTGCTCCAGTATTCGTTTCTCTAAATAGCAATGTCAATATACTCGAGCTCCCCGTTGATTTCGCAATGTTTTTTTTTTTTGAAATTCTTTTTGGGTTTGTTAGCCGTTGAATTCCAAATGAAGATGTGTAAGATTGGTGGAGTTCAAACTTTTTTTAATTGCTCCAATTTATCCAATTTCCTCATAAACCGCAGAGGCTTCTTATGCAGGTCATGCTTTGAATTTGGCAAACATCATCCCAATATATTTTGCTGGAACTTTACAAATATAAAGGGAGACGTCATCATTTTCAATTTCTCCTTTTTCTTGGACTCTTATCCCAAGTGGATTTTCATGGAATTTTATGCAAAGGCATCCTCCATGTCATGTACCCGTGAGTAGCAAAGAAAACACCAAAGATTTACAAACAATTTCTTTGCTCTCGAGTTGCATTTTGGTATATGTTGCTCTCTTGTTTTTCTTCACAGAGACCAAGCATGGGTCGCTCAAGGGGAACAAAAAGTTGCATTTTGGCTTCTTTTGGTCCATAAATGCATCTATTTTCTCATTGGACCGCAAAGAATGACTTTGCATATAAAACTTGGCTTCCTATGTCTGCTTCCTTAGCTTGATTTTTGACAAATGGCATTTAGAATGATCCTTTGTTGTTTTCAAGTCTCTTTAAACATGATAACCACGTGAACGGAATTCATGTTATCTAGAAGACTTTTCTTCCTTCTCCTTCTCTAGAGTAATCTTTTAAGTCTAGAACGCCAACAACGTGTTGATTGGAACTTCACGGGGTCGTTTAGACCATCCCGAAGAAATTCATGGGACTGACGGCAACGGCGGGGAGCGGAACTCTTGTGTGTTTTTGTTCTTTTTACGAATGGTTGAACTCCTTGTTCTCTTTTCTGGCAGCACTTCATTGCTTTTGGTATTTTCTCTCAAAGTTTCTCTTATTTTTTGCAGAGTATCTCCTCTCTTTTCTGTGTCTACCCTTCTTACTGCAACTGATGCCTATTTATAGACATCTTAGGAGGCCTCTAGAGCTTTTACGTGGGAGGAGATAGAGGCCATGTCTTCCTCCACTTTCTCTTAACCTCTCTTACTGGCTCCACGTTCTTTCGTTGTGGAAAATGGGGAGCCCCTGTTTTGCATGCTACTTCCCCCTTTTGTAGAAAGGAATTCATATCTTTTTTATTTTTTTGTATTTTTATTTTTTAATTTATTTATGGATGCTTGATTTGTATGCAAAGCCCATCCTTATTTTTTGGGCTGGATTACATTTTTGTTTTGCCTTGTAGTTTGACCCAATTTGTATGGACTCTATTTTTTTTTTATATGTTATATATTTTTGTTATTCAACACTCGGATCAGTCAACAATTTGTTTTCTGCAACTTGTTTTGCTTTAAAGTTGGAGAACTGTGAAAGCCCGTACTGCATCTTATTTGATCTTTTAAGGGAGAAGTTCTACCGCTCCCGGTGGGTAACGTCCAAGTACCCGAAGAACACTGTATATATGACAAGTATGGTATGGGATTTGATGATTTAACCAGCACCCATAAAGTGATTCGTGTTTCTGCAGATATCCAAAAGAATATGGTAGCCCTAGTTCTTGTCTTGGGCACAAACTCGTGGCGGAAGATACACTCGGTTCCTCCTCATCATATAAGCTCATCAACAAGCTTATTATCTGCAAACGGAGACATGCATTGGTTGATTCATTTGGCCGCCGGCCAATTCTCAAGTAAAAGAGAAAGCTGTATAGTTTCTCTCGACTTCAAGAAAGAGGAGTTATATTGCATATTGCACTCCACATCCTATTCAATCAAGCAATATGCGCCTATTTATTCTGAGAGGATGCATGGCATTTATGGCCGTCAGAGGTAAGCATGTTGAGATATTGGTGCTGAAAAACTATGAAAGGAAAGAGTGGAAGCGTGAATACGCCATGAATCTTCGGGTTCATGGTCATACGCTCAAGAACCATCCGCGGATTGCTAGTTGAGGTCAGTGGGAGCATGGCATTTTTTTCTTAGATTCTCACAACAACGCATTATTTTTCGATGTACGGTGTCCGTTCCCTAAAACATGTGACATATCCAATGTTATTTCCTAGAGATCCGATGGTGGCGATTGAGCCTAGTATTCACAGTTGTGCTCGGAGCTTGATTTCTCTCAAACATTATGGCAATGTGATTGACCAAGAACAAGTGTCTTCCGGTATTGATTTGGAATCCGGCAAGTTCGAATGGACTTTCAAGAAAAATGTTGTCCAATCAGAACAACATCACTGGAAGCGTAAAGTTTTTGCAACAAATTGTGGAAACATTCTTGAAGCAGAAGGAAGGAGTAGGAAGAATTTCTTTTATCTTGAGAAGGTAGCACGAGGCTAAGGCTTCAATGTTCCGCGAGAGGAAGTTTCTCTTTTTGTTGTGGCGTTTGAATGACTGTAGTTTCTTTATTTTTTTTCTCCTGAAAATTGTCATTCGGAACAACTCCCTATACAAATTTTCTTTCGTGCTTTTTATAAATTTAGATTGCCAATAACAACTGTTTTTTTTTTTTTTTTTTTTGTTCAATGTTATATTGTTTTTCTTTGAATTTTGCTTCAAACAAAGTGATGGAGACAAAATGTAAACAAATCAAAGGACCCAAAAAATACACACAGCAGAGTAAGATCAAGGGAAGTCAGCATGAGGAAAATTAGACACCCGAAAAACATATCAGAATGCACCAACGACCTGTAAATACGAATTAATTGACCCATCGATGAACAGGTCTACGGATTTAAATATCGGCAAAACGTGAGAACAAGCTTCAACATAGGCTGGAAATGCACGTCTCCATAAGAATTAATGCCATTAGATGAGAACCGATGTAAACATTAGATTGACAAGTACTCAGACTGACACGAGTTCAAAATTGAAATGAATCTCAGACCTATACAAGTTCAATGTATGCCATGGGTGCATTGTCCCCTCGCCTTGGCAGAGTTCTGATGATTCTTGTATAGCCACCATTCCGCTCCCCATATCTGTCAGGTACCTCTGCAAACAAAGCATGGACGATCTGTTTCTCGTAGATGTATCCCAGCGCCTGTCTCCTCTTATGAAGAGATCCATCCTTGGCCAGTGTGATCATCTTGTCCACGTACTTCCTCATGGCACTTGCCCTTGCTCGAGTCGTTTTGATGCGTCCGTGTTTAAGGAGTTGAGTAGTGAGGCCTCGAAGAAGGGCTTTCCTCTGGTCTGGAGGCCTGTTGAGCTTAGGAACTTTCCTGCCATGTCTCATGGCAGAAACACGACCACCATTATCAATGATGGTGAAGTTGTGTTCAAAACTCATGGACTCTGCGAGAAGACAGAAAAAAGCATGAGGGTCCTGCCAACACAGACACCAAATGACAGAAAACATATCTAAACAGAAACATGACAGTAAACAATCTGATGAAAGTAAGACAAACAAAATCCACAATGCAGTGCAGTATGGATTTCACGTTTCAGAAGTCCCAAAACCATCTAAACAGAAACGTGACAGTGAATAATCTCTGGATGAAAGTCAGATAAACAAAATCCACATTGCAATGCAGTATGGATTTCCCATTTCGGAAGTCCCAAAACCATCTAAACATATCTAAACAGAAACATGGCAGTAAATAACCTCTGGATGAAAATCAGATAAACCAAATCCACAATGCAATACAGAATGGATTTCCCATTTCAGAAGTCCCAAAACCATCTGAACTACATCGTTGAGATAGAAACTGAACACCCTAGTTGAAAATTTAACACTAGAAGTCACTTAGGGCCCGTTTGATAACCATTTCGTTTTTTTGTTTCTGATTTTCAGTTTTGTGCTGGAGATAGGGGGAAATATGGGAGAAAGGAGGACTGAAGGCTGGTGAAGGAACAAATGTGTATGGAATGACACAAAAATTGAAGACTGAAAACCAAAATTTTAACTGTTTTTCCTTCAAGTTTTTGGTTTTCCTCCTCACTCTTCACTCCCACCACCTCCCTTCATCCTTCCCAATTCCTCATTTCTCTCATACACTTTCCCTCAATCTCTAGCACAATAAACGTAAACGAAAAACAAAGAACGAAATGGCTGTCAAACGTGGCCTTAAAAAGTAAAGAATGTGTTGCTACAGATGCAATTGAAGTTCCGTGAAGAGAATGTAAACTGAACATATACAAAGATACAAGACTCAACTCAAATAATGCACAAAGATACGAAATTTAACTGCAATAATCCACAAATACACCAAATTGAACAGAAACAAAGCACAAAAGATACCAAATTGAGCTGAAATAATACACAAAGATACATAATTGCACTCGAAAATACGAACCCAGTTGCCGCCATTGATAACTACAGGAGAAAATTCAGCAACAAAAGGAAACGGTAGTGACGGAGAAGAGAGTGGTACCGGAGAGGCTGAGGGAGAGGAGCGGGTTAAGGGGAGAAAGACCCGAGAAAGACCCGAATTGGAACTCAGGTTTGCGGAGACCGACGCTGAGGCGGAGGCTCCGATGCCCGCACGGTGCCGAAGAAGAAGAAGCAGTAGGAATGGTGCACCTCTCCGGCAGGGATGGAAGCGCCCCCTTCAGAGACGCCATGCTCCATCTGCTGCATTCTGCTGCCCCGGTAGCCGTTGCCAATGCCATTGTCACCGCCATTTCAAAACCATACAACAAAATCTCTGGTTCTGCTCTTCCTCTGTTGTTCCTCCTTATCTACGAGGCTACGAGCCGTGGGTTCCGGATAAAGTGGGTTCTGGGTTAGTGGGTTGGGCTTGGGTTTTACTGAGGGCCCAAAACTCAGTCCTTCAATTGGGGCCTCTTTTAACTTTTGCTCCAACTAGGCCCAATTGGTAACAACACGAAATCTATCTGCATATTTCATAAAAATACATAATTGGAGAGAAAGAAGCCGGATCTCTCTCAAGCCACCAGATTAAGTGATTCTGGCATTCTAAATTTCATCTAACGATTAAAAATTATTACAGTTTTTAAGAGGTCAAAACAAATAGGACGTTAGATGAAATTTAGAAAGTTCGAATCACTTGATTCGGTGATCTTGATGGAATAGATGATCTCTTTCTAGATCTCTTTCCGGGATCTCTTTCCGAGATAGAAAGAAATAAAAACCAACAGTGGTCCCCACAAACTGTAAACAACAGCGAGGAGAGAGAGAGAGGGAGGGAGAGAGAGGGAGAGGAGATCCACAGCCACAGGTCCATCACCATCAGAGCTCCTCCCATCACAGAGTTTAAGGAGAAACCCAGATTTTAAAGTTTGAATCTTCAACTACCACTGCGACTTGGAGAACAAACCCAGATTTTCTTTCGCCTTTTTGACCCTGTAATTTTCTAATTAAAGCCTCATCATTTGCTTTTTGTCAGTTAAAAAGTAGTGATTACTTACTAATTAAGTGTTTAAGCACAGTAGAGTAGAGTAGAGAGAGAGAGAGAGAGAGAGAGAGAGAGAGAGAGCTAGGTGAAAAAGGTGAGAGGAGGAGAAAAGCGAAAGCCACCGAAGAATGAGACTCTGCACCACCAGCAGAGTCGGAGCAGCACAACAAAAGCAACAACTTCATCATACTCAGCAGCTTCTGCTTTTACTCACTGCTTCTGCTGGGAGTGCTTTTTCTGCAACTTGTAACGGTCAAATTAAGTCAAGATGGGGAACTGCGGGACGAGGGAGGAATCAGCTGTGGTGACCAATGCTCAAGGTTGGTGCTTTGCGAGCTCCAGATGCTTCAAAAGTTCAGATCTTTCTGCTTAAATTTTGGGATTTCATGATTTTTCAGCTTTTGGCTTATGGCTTTTTTTTATTTTTTATTATTGAGCAGTTCAGCAGCTGAGCACGCTGGCGTCTTCCGTGAAGAACGGCGGCGGTGAGAGGAAGCAGAATCACAGCCGTTCGATTTCAGATCTGAGCGATCCTTCGACGCCACGGAACTTCGAGGACGCGCGGAAGAATGCGGTGCTGTACACGCACGTCATCGCCTTCACGCTCTTCGAGCTCGAGACCATCACCAAGAGCTTCCGCTCCGACTACATTTTGGGGGAAGGCGGCTTCGGGACGGTGTACAAGGGCTACATTGACGAGAACGTTCGGGTCGGGTTGAAATCTCTGCCAGTCGCCGTCAAGGTCCTCAACAAGGAGGGCCATCAGGGCCACCGCGAGTGGCTGACGGAGGTCAACTTCCTCGGTCAGCTCCGCCACCCCAATCTCGTGAAATTGATTGGGTACTGCTGCGAGGACGACCACAGATTGCTGGTTTATGAGTTCATGTTCCGAGGGAGCTTGGAAAATCATCTTTTCCGGAGTAATTAAGCTCTTAATCTTTCGATTTTTCGGGTTTTTGATTGGTGTATTTTGGTGATTTGGTGTTGCTAATTAGGGTTTTTGTGAACATTTTTAGAGGCAACTGTTCCGTTATCGTGGGGGACGAGGATGATGATTGCTCTGGGAGCTGCCAAGGGGCTTGCTTTTCTTCACAATGCCGAAAGGCCTGTGATTTATCGAGATTTCAAGACTTCGAATATCTTGTTGGACTCTGTAAGTTGTGTTTCTGTGCACAAATTAATTGTTGAATGATTGCATGCAAGCTCGAATTAGTCTCACTGGTTGCATGTGTATGCAGGATTATGCTGCCAAGCTTTCGGATTTCGGGCTTGCTAAAGCTGGACCTCAAGGGGATGAAACCCATGTATCGACTCGCGTTATGGGTACCTATGGATATGCAGCCCCGGAGTATGTAATGACTGGTATGGCGTGTTCTTACATGTTCAAAATGCTTGATTTAGCTGATGTAGTTGTTGGAACATGATGAATTGAATTAGTTGAGTGGGAAAGAGTCTAGATTTTTCTCTGGTAAAGATGAACAAGATTTAGTTATAGTAACTTGAAAATCTGATTGATTCCAACATAAAAACTGCGAACTAGGTGCCTTGGGAGGGTTGGGATGATCGGTATTACCAGCATTAGTACCATTTGAGTTATACTCTTGCTATGTAAGCGGTTGTCTTTCGATTTTCGTGCTTTCACTAGAATCAGATTTTATTTTCATTGGTAGAGGGGTAAGGATGCACCTGGTTAGGTATTGCCAAATCAAGCTTTTTGGAGGGGAGGTATAGGGACTGAGTAGCTCTTTGAACATGAGCGATTGTGCTTGATTGATGTAGAGTTTCAACATTGCTTCAGAGTATAAACCCTGATTTTACGTAGTACTGGATGCTTGGCTTCACTGCACTTTCTATTGAGATCTTTTCATAAAAGTTTGGCTTCTATAGCAATTGCTTACGTTCTCGGCAGTTCTAATGCATTTTCTGGTCAAATCTTTTCATAAATGCTTAGAGATGGACTTGAATTAAGGGATTCTTGGCAGCTTCAATGTGCTTTCGATTCAAAATTTTCGTAACTGTTACTGATTGTATTAGAGTATGAGGTGTTGAGATATTGTCACTTTTCATTTAGATAGGTGTCCCGAACCTTTAGGCACACACATGAATCAGTAATCAATTCTTAGCGGGTAGATCTAAGATTGGAGCTCTCGCAGCAAGTAACCAATTCATATGCACTTTGTTATTGAAGTGATGAGGGACTTGTAGGTTTGACTCAAGAGTGTTGCTATGTCCACGTACCTGGTTTTTTCTTCTCTGTAACTAGCTGAATAAGTCTCGTGGTCCCTTTTCCACTTCAAAATTGTGTATATGACCAGATGAAGAAATGCCGACATTAGCTGTCAATGTGTTTAATTTTCTTGTTCACGTAATGTAAGAGTATTAATTGCATGTTTTGTTCTGAATCAATTCCATGTGAAATGATCAGGCCACCTGACTGCTAGGAGTGATGTATACAGCTTTGGAGTTGTTCTCCTTGAGCTTTTGACAGGAAGGAGATCTGTTGACAAGACGAGACCAAGCAGGGAACAGAACTTGGTAGATTGGGCGCGGCCAAAACTGAACGACAAAAGAAAGTTGCTACAAATAATCGACCCTAGGTTGGAGAATCAGTACTCAGTCAGGGCAGCACAGAAAGCCTGCAGCTTGGCATACTACTGTCTCAGCCAAAACCCCAAAGCAAGGCCCTTAATGAGTGATGTAGTTGAAACTTTGGAACCTCTACAAAGTTGCAACGAACCAAGTAACTCAACGGGAGGACCATTTGCCATGACCAGAATCCCTGAGCACAGAATGCGTCACAGGTTTTCTAACAATGTAGGTCCTGGTGTTGTTTGTCGATCACCCAACCCAAATTTATCGCCAGGAGGTCCTGCAGCTTGCAGAGTTAGATGAGAGTGTCATCTATATTGTATACTTGTTTGTACTTTGTATGCATCATCCCCCAACCTTTTTTGCTATGACAGAATTTGCTTGTTATATAGTATCGCCGTCTTCCTCTACCTTAAGTAATCGTTTCTGTTCGACGCCTGCATTTTAAGTAGAGTGAGGCCATTGAATGTTTTGTTTTGTTTTGTTTTTGAGAAACGATAGTGTTAGTAAGTTAAATTGTTAGTTGTTGAGTGAGGCCATACTCACTTTGACTCAGCAGAATTGCCTAAATCTGTCTACAGTCAGAGGCATGTCTTGCATTTGAACTGAATCTAAGGATTGAAGGGAACCTTATTCCCTACAAGGAGGTGGTATAAATGTGTCATTACGTTCAAAGGGCCATAGGTGGATATTTCTTGGTGCATGAGCCAAATAATGAACAATATTAGGAAATTTAGCCTAAATCAAGTGTTATTTTTAGCCTTTAATATGAGGAATTTTTCTGATTGTCAACCAAGGGGAGAATCGAATTTCGTGGATGGTGAATTCAATATCAAATTAGGTTGTACATTGTGTAGCTTAACCAAACTCCCCCTCTCTCCTAGCGTAAAATATATCGTTGTACTAAAAAAAAATGGGGAGGGAATATTTTATGAGTGTTAGGAACATAGGTTACGTAGTGTTAGAGACGACGACAAAAATTAGTTGAGTGGATGCATCTTCAAACAATAAAGTAACATTGAAAATTAACAAATATGGTTAAAAAATTTGGACTACTCTGTAGTCTAGACTACCGAAGACAACCCATCACTATCATCAAATATGACTACCTTGAATGTAACCATGTTATCTTTTATATTGATCTTTCATCTGATTTTCCAACCATTTTATAATTTCTTTCGGATCTTTGTATATGGGGTAGTCATTAATCTTGGGCGGGTATTGTCAATATTAACAAGATTATGTTATTTCATTTAAATGGGTTGTATTTAGCCATGTAGTATTACTTGTAGATTTTTTTTTTTTTTTCTGCAAATAAGAAATGAGTGGTGGTGCACTATAGTTGCTCTGTTCATGCATAATATATTATTTCACGTATTATAATAAAGATGGATGACAAAGTTGATATGCCGTACTTATAGTGTATGTAGATTAACAAAAAACAAACAAATTCTTATGTTATAAGTGAGTAGAATAATAACGTCACGTGATTGTATTTTAACTACACCTAAAAATCTATCAACGAGGAGGAAATTCAAATTTGTGTGCAAGAGGAGTTCGAGAACAACATTACTTTAGCAAAGTGACCTACATATGCATATTAATACTAGACATCTAGTTTCCTTATTCGGAAAAGGATCCTCGCCGGATCCTTTTCTTGGGGATCATAGGGATCCCGTGATAGTGACTGTTCATCGTACATCGTGCGGTCAGTTTTCGTTAGGTACTATTTATATTTAATTTTAAATTTTAAATTTTGAAATGATTTCTGACCGCACGATGTATGATGAACGGTCACAATTACGGGATTCCTAGGATCCCCAGCCAAAAGATCTGGCGAGGATCCTTTTCTTCCTTATTCTACCTTTCCATTTTTAAGTTTACTTGTTTCATATGTGTTCCTTGAATGTTAAATAACAATAACCCTAAAATTTCTTCTCTGGAAAACTTCTCTTTGTTGCCAACCCATAAAAATTGAGTCAGATATTCACCACGATTAAATATTATACATCCCAAGTAACTCCAGATTCCATTACTGTTTTTTCATAAAACTTCCACTATATATACAGAGGAAATGTCTAAGAACCAAAGAAAATTAAAAAAATAAAATATCCGTTTCTCCTTGTCCCGCTCCCCTCTTAACAAATCTCTTCCTCCTCTCCTTCCCACCACACAAAGTTTCGTTCTCCAATCATCTCTCTTCTCTCTCTCTCTCTCTCTCTCTCTCTCTCTCTCTGGTGTTTGCTTGGCTGCGAGACATGGACGACTCCACAAACAGTACCACCATAAAGTTGGTGGTTTTCTTAATCTTCATCATGGGGCTACTATTAACCATTAACCCTGCATTAGCAACTGGTAAGTTAATTATATATTTAATTTCTGCAACAAGTATATATTTAAGTTTAATTTATATATAATCGCATATAGTTACTCTTTTTATCATGCAGGTGAGACGTATGAGCCAAACCTAAGGCAATCAACAACGACGGGGACATTTCATCCCGCCGGTCCGACGGAGTATAAGCTTTTCATTGATGGCGTGACTAAACCTAATCACGATACACAACGGCGGCGACTGGCGCCATATCAGCTGTGTTTGCCGTGCAAGTGCTGCTCAGCCACCACCTGTATCTCCATGCCTTGCTGCTTCGGCATCGACTGCCAGCTCCCCAACAAACCTTTTGGAGTTTGCGCTTTTGTCCCCAAGACTTGCAACTGCGCCAATTGCACAACTCCTGCTTGATGCCATTTCCCCCCACCCCTCTATATATATATTTATATATTCTAGCTAGCTACATATAGGCCTCATCTTTCTCTTTGAATTTATGTATATCTTCTGGTATATACTTGTGTATTAGATCTTAGCCGGCCGGCCATATTTGAGTCACAGCAGTTCGCATATCACAAGCCAATCAAGTATTATCATATGATAAAGTTAAGATACATGATCATGCTTGATTGACTTATATTGCCACAATACCGCTTATTATAGGTGAATTTCCCGGCTAGAGTGAGTGAAGGAAACAATAGTTTAACAAATTTGAAATTTGGGAAATGCACTCTATTTTTTCCTAATATGTTTTAGGTCTATCAGATCCTTTTGCCGGCCGATCAAATGTTTGAGTTCCAGCAGTAGGCCTTGACTGGAGGACAGGAAAGCAGCATTACACAGATTTGAAATTAGGGTTTTGAGCCGATGGCTAAAATACAAATGATGACAACCTTGCATTGTCAGAGAATTCAGAGGGTACAGATTGTTATTCGATGTTTCGAGAAGTTCTTGTATAAAAATATATCATGTTGTCACGCACCCACGTGGGCAACTTGTTATATATAATGCTTGAATATTTGTACATGCATCGGTCCACACCCATCACATACATATATTCTTGTTCTGGTATATTATTTTAGTACATGGTTGAATGAAGATGAATGGCCTACATTGTTTGTTGAGTGTTTTCGTAGGAATCAAATCTACTTGTAATCGTTTTAATTTTGTTTGAAACCCACTTTTGTTAGAGGTACATTTATTTTTTTATATGGAAATGAGGAGCACTAGTTAAAAGTGTTTTTGGAGACTCGGGCATTGTGTAATAAAGGTGCAAGGCTTACCAAAACAATGTATATATGCACCATTTCTAATTGAAAACAAATTCTAGTCATTTATGCAGCTCCGAATGGATTCTAGGTGAGACCCATTTCAAATAGTGCAAAACCAGAATCCTACAACTCCCCTTACCAGAATCCTACAATTCCCTTTAGACAAAAAGTGGGTTAACTAACGAAAGAAAGGTGGAACCAGATGCTTTCTTAAAAGAAAAGTGATTTGCACTATCTGAAGAATATTACATCTCAGGCTTCTCCAAAACAGTAGGAGCTCTTTTAAGATTTTGAAAGTGCTTTTAGGGGATGTTTGGAATTGTTTTTAGAAGAGCTAACAGTGTTTCTTGACAATAAAAAAATACCTTGTGACGACATTTGGCATATAAACTTAGAAGTACTTATGGATCATCGAAACACTTTTTCGGATAAGCATCAAGCACTTTTATGTAGATTACCTGGTGGAACAATAAAGTGAAAATCCAGCAATAGGAAGAATGCCTTGTATATTTGGGCTAGGGTGCCTGATTTGGGCCTTTGAGTTGCCGTTTCAAAAAGCACAGTATCACGAGTTCAATTCACTTCCTTTGTAGTGACATGAAAATTTTCAGCCGAATTCTAATATTTACTATGTTTTATGATCATTCAAAAGATTTTAGGATGTTTAGGGCTAAGTGGCATTATATTAACCACCTTTAATTAGGGTGCTAGAGTTGTCATCGTTAAACTTTTCTTATAGTCTCAGGTGGATTCTAATAGACGATGGTTTTTGACATACGAGACGAGGGCGTCCATGGGCTTTTTTGTACTAGTGCTAGTTTACTTGTTCTTTGAGGTTAACGTTTGACACATTATTTTTGTCACATGCGTCACACTTTTACCAAAAATGCTTATGATCACCATAAGTACTTTGTATGCGTCACACAGACGAGATTGGAGTACATTTTTTATTTATTGGAATAAGGTGTTTTTATCGAATCAACATAGAATAGTACAACAAATAGGTAAAAAAACCATCCAAAACCAAACATAAAAATTATGTACAATAGCTAGTCCAATAACATAAAACGAACCGTTTCAAATTCATCATAATATGTAGCCATGCATGCATCAATTTTGCTGAACACGGACGCCAAGTAAGAGAGATTTCTTTTCAATGTGCCCGAAATAAAGTGCGGTACATCATGTATCATTATATAAGTGGCAAGGTACTTGTGTTAAAAAAATTAACAATCTTTCACTTATTTAATGACATGTCCCGTATTCTGGACACAATAAAAATTTCTCGCCAAGCAACTAGTTTTGTGACATAGAATGTACGCTTCATAAGTAAAACTTGATTGTATGCAGAAACCCTAACTTCCCCAATGTGAAGGTGTTTAGGGCATGCATTTAAAGACCACTGGTATAAAGTAAAGGGTACGTGGTGCTATCTATATATCCATTTTTACTTCTCACACACCTCTTAATTTTTGGTTGTCAGATCGAATGAATTGAAGAAGATTAATGACCAGAAACTAACAAGGGTGTGTGGAAGGTAAAAATGAGAGTATAAATAACACTATCCCAAGTGAAAAATATATAGCTAAGCCTAAGCGTATATATTCTTTATATACTCTAAATTGATGAAATCGTCTTGCAGGTGATTTTCACTTTTTCTCCTATTTAAAAAGGGTTGAGTACAGATAATTACTCAATCTTTTAGAGTGATTCCAAATTAGTCAATCTTTTGAAACATTTTAAATAACTATTTAATGTACGGTTTATGAATTAGACGATTGATAGGTCACTGGTGTTAAGTGATGATCTTAATTACCAACATCAAGTGATGATGTTTTTAGCATTAGATGATGAGGTGGACAAATATAAAAGTTGTTCTCCACTAATTAATCATCTTCTTTGGAGATCTAATTTCCAAGTTGACTCCTTTTAGCCAAGTTAAGCCATAAATTTGCTTGGCTAATTAAATTGCAACAATTTGGAAATTCGGAGCTTCATAGATGACTTGAGAGTAAAAATCACCTAAATCATCGCTTAATGTTAGAGGACCTAACAAATGTCCACTTTTCAAAACATTTAGATAATTTTTTGGAATGTTTTAAAAGGTTCCAATTTGATATCACCCCAAGAGTTTTTACTCTAGAAAATTTCGAATCACTCCTCAAGGTTTTGAAGTTATCCAAACTTAACTCAAAATTAAGTTAATAACGATGATTAACTAAGTATGTGAGATAAAGATTTTCTCCCAAAAAACATAAATAAGTGAAAGGTTTTTCTTTTTGTTTTCTTGATTGGAAAGTGAACGTGTGAATTTGAAACACATGCAGTTATGCACCCTCTTCTAAAGTTAGAGTCCTCTTATAATGTTAAAGTAGGTGGTATTGCCCCATTAGTTTATACTCTGACCATAGGAAAAAACAACATTGTACCTTTTATTTCCTTAAAAAACAAACCGCAATACTAATCTTGGTGCTAATGGACGTTATTGATGCTTACATATCTTAAGATAATTAATGAATTATAATGGGATGACGAAGACCATATTGATAATATACAGTAATTGGGGAGTGCGCCCTTGCAAATTTAAATTAGTTAATTATTTTGTTTGGTGATGTCCTTAATTAATTAGGCTACCTAGCTCATGTCGTACCTTGTATATTTGAGAAAGATCGATCAAGAGAAAGATTTATGAATTTTAATACTAATCGTTTAGTCTTTTGAAATACACCAGTGGGTGCAAAAAATGATAAAATACTCAATTTGAAGTGAAGAATACGAAATATATTGACAAACGTAATAGATTCCTTTGTCCATCCGATCCCTATCACACTATAGTCAGGTTCCTTTCAAAGTAATTATACTATATATATAGAGATCGGACAACGAAAGGAGGCTGCTGCCACCAGTTTAATTGTCACCGCTCATTTCATCATTAAGTTTAGTATATACTAGAAAATATGCCCGCGCGTTGCTGCGGGACTTGAATGCACCAGCTTTAACTGCATGAATAAGACACATTTAACCCGAATAAATTAAACATAATCATGAATGAATAGAAGGATAGATGAGTGAAAATAGTCGGTAAGATAAGCATCTTGATTTTTGTATACATTCAACATAACTGATATGAAAAGACATTGTACAATTAACAGAACGTTCTTGATTACAAAAGATGTGATTGCAAAAAATTGTCTGTTTCCATAAGAAACAGAAACAACATACAGTTCACACATATATTGCCTCTGAAGTTAAGATGGCAAAATATATGTCCTGTAGGCCAACGGCCTGTTTCAGCAGTTAACAAAAAACATTAAAAGTGTTCTGTTTTTGTTTCAGCAGCTAAGCTTTCAAGCACTAATGTTCAAAGAAAAAAAATGCAGGATGCCTATTTCCGTAAGAAACAAAAGCAAGATGTAGTCCAGACATATTTTACCCTGCAGTTAAGGTAGCAAAATATATGGCCTGTAGGCCTAGCACCTGTTTCAGCAGTTAACAAAAAACAAAATAACTGTTCCATTGTTGTTTCAGCAAGTTTTCAAGCACACAGTAACTCCAAGAAAACAGAATGTTGGAAGATATAAAAACAGGGCTAATTTCAAGCATAAACTATCTCTGAAAAATTAATACCTCAAGTTTGTTTTCCCAATCTACACCATAAATATTACTTAAAATTGAACCAGCCTTGACAACAAACTGAGGAAGCTCCTTGAAAAAATATACGGTGCTGTAAAACACCCCAATAAGAAGAATAAAATAAGATGGCAAGAATTCATGAGCAGCTAATTATAAGCTAAAGGAAAGACGGTCTAGTGCCTAAGAACCAAGTGAAACTTTGCTTGCTATATATGGATATGCATGCTATAAGAAAGATTTATTCCCCCATGTAGTAGGCTGTTCTCTGTAATCTTAAGCTAACCCAAGTAGACTAATTATAATGATGCAAAATATATGTAAATCTGACTCTTTTTTTTTTAACTGGGATTCGAAAGAATCAATACCTTGGCATATAACAGTCTTCAACAATTACTGCAAGATAATCCTTCTAGCTATGCAACAAATCCAAATTGAGCACCATTGCATAATCTTGGGCTTACATTGTGGAAAACAGAAGCACTGCCAGCGTTTAGAACAATCAACGTTACTTGCCAACATCATTAGAGAGTGAACAATTAGGACCATTTTTTCTGTCCAGCCATTTTAGTTGGCCAAACTCTATGTAATTGCTTCTAATAACAGAATATTCTGTTTGAAATGGAAAGCATAGTTCCTCTAAAAAAAAGGCTAGAATCATTCATACCTGCCAAACCAATAATAATCTGGTTCAAGATGTGAGAGACCATTTATTTCTGTGTAACCATCAGAAGTCTCACTCATCTGCCTCCCAATCCCCTCCAATCCTCCAACAGATGTATAAATGAAACAATGAAGATATATGGGAACTCAAAAGGATTAGACAAAATAGTACTTCTCTCTTAAAAATGCGGTTATCAACCCTTTTTACACATTTTTGTTAAAGTGTAACCTAATTGTTCATTCAATTACAATATCTGAAAACACCTCAAGTCAAGCCACCTAATTTTGGCAGTTGGGTGAGAAGGGGATGCTAATATATATTTCGAAAACAACATCATGCTTTTCAATCATTTTCATGGTTCTTACCAAAATTTAAAATCTACAGACAGTGAGGCATTAAGACAGTCAGAAAATAAACAAATATTAGATATAATTCCACATTCTAAAATAGATATCAGCAAGTCAAAAGTAAAAACATGAAAAAAGTAAGAAATTTGATATTGCAGTTAAAGACCCATATAAGTAATCTACAACTAAAAAGCTAGATATTAAACCTAAAATCATGTAATTATGTATGAAGCAGAGAATAATGCAGAGAGATTGTTTTTTATAGTGCTGCCAATGACAATTACTTTCTCATGAAAACAAAGAAAAGAGAAACAGAGGTATAAAAGTATATTGTTTTTTATAGTTACAAACATTATGAATTCTGAAAAGAAGAAAAAAACTACAAATAACACTTCAATCACGGACCTAAGCATCTAAAACGCGGCGGCCAAGATACCATTCAAGATAGGACTCAGCATCATGGATGAACTAACCAATCTGTGTCCCTGAGCTCACTGCAAGTCATATACACCCGACCAACTGGGCATAGGAGCATAATGAGGAAAACTTCCCGTATCCTCACTTAGAAGAAAATAATGCACGCATAATAGCCACATGGACCTCACGTATATAAATTGTTGTGGCAATAATTTGCAATAGAAAACATAGTTATAAATAAGATATACGAAATACCAACATTGCAATGGTCTTTTTTTTTTTTTCATTCGATTGTACTGAAGCATGCATCTTAGTGGAGAACAATTAAGTACCACGTGAGGTCTATATAATGAAATGGGAGATTGAATACACTTGAGGAAACTGACAATTCAAATATGCACACTCCATAGTGTATCTTCACAACCAAAAGAAACGTTTATATATACGACATATGTTTGACATTGTTTTTCCCTGCTCAAATTGTCTTGAGAAAATTTGACTACATTGAGAATAAGCAAAAGAGTACTTTTTACTACCTAATTTACTAAGATCCACCAAATCTAAAAACTACAAAACTTTTATTAAAGAATCAAATAGAATAGCATGAGAAAGTTATTAGGACACCATATCCGAATTTTTTTGCAGATAAAAACACCTGTATTTCACCTGATTTTCGAATGAAATACAGATGCTTGTATGTCACCTGTACATAGCAGCCTGACATTTATTGTCTTCTTTGGGTTCAAGTTCGTTATATTGTCTGATACGTGAAAGAATCAGAAATCGTATACAGTTTGATAAAGAAACACGTAATGTGATTATGTGAAAACCATGCACTTGTTTGTCAGAGAGATAAACAAAGATACCAAAAACAGAGAGGCAATGTTAAGATAAACAGAGAGGCAATGTCACATTGTTTTGCATGATCTTGAAATTGGGGATAAGGTATTCGAAGTGCTAACAATGACGTGCAAATGGTATTGAAATGCTAAAAAGGGCATTTTGAATAATTATATGATGCGGCAACAAAAACACAATTGACTTTCAAACTACAGAAATAAATGATAAAAAACACATACTTGCACCCAATGCATTGCTTTTTTTTTTTTTTTCTGTGCAGTATAAGAATAAAAAAGGATAACATTCCCCCGAAACCAAATTCATCCCCCAATTTCTTGCAACAAATTTTAGTAATAACGAACGCAACTAAATCTTAAATAAATAGAGCTGTTCAATTAGATTAAACTACATATAGGGAGGGGGAAAGAGAGAAAAGAGAGACCTAGAACTACCTGGATCCTCAATATTGACCGGAACATAATTCCGATTGGGTTTCAAAAGTGAAGTGTACATCAAATGCTATATCAGTGTTGTCGGATGCTGAAAAGTAACTGCAATCCAGGGAACAATTTCATTTATAAGTATAATAAAAATAGAAAGAATCAGGGAAAATCTGTGATGGTGGAAAACATCAAAGCCAAACCAAAACTCTAAACCTGTATTAGAGGTTTATTAAATCCAATGTTGAAAACCATTTAATAGTATCGTTTGAAACCTAAAAAAGGATTGAATAGTGATCACTGACCTCTTTGAATCGAATGATATTCGGATTCTTCAGTGATTTATGGTTTGTGATTTCCCTTTGAACATGTTCATCCATCTGCATCTGCATCACCAAAATTAAATAAATATTTAAAAAAAATACAAAATGAAAATAGTTTATGATCACTAACCTCTTTGGATCGAATGATATTCGGATGCTTCAGTGATCTATGGCTCATGATTTCCCTTCGAACATGCTCATCTGCCTGCATCACCAAAAAATTAATAAATATTTTAAAAAAATGCAAAATTTAAAGGATAAGAATTGCGAAGATTCTTAGGTCTTAGTTCGGAATGAAATAGCTCATCTCACCTCCATATATTACCAAATCTTAGTCTATATAGAAAATATGCCCGTGTGTTGCGGCGGGAATCAACTATTTTAGACGTAACTGCATGAATAAAACACATTTAACCTGAATAAATTTAAAACAATCATGAATGAACAGAGGGACACATGAGTGAATGAGGTCGATAAGATAAGCAGCTTGGCTTTTATATACATTCAACTGACATCTTTTGTCGTTGTAGTCTCCAATATATATGTAAGGTATGTAAGCTGAACACAGAAAAAAAGGAAATGACACAAATGATGTTTTGAGGGGAATGCCAGAACTGAACCATGAAGGGAAACTTACATAGAAAATGACCAGATTTGCTGTAATAGAAATTAAATTAATTTATGGTAAAGTCCAAGTCGTTCATTACATGAGGAATTATCAAACAATGATTGGTAGTTTTACATATTCCTAAAGCGAAGTGTTACCGACACTTCAAAAAGTTGATCATAATAAACTCCTTGATGTTCAGTTTAATTTGTTCTTATATTTTTATAAATAAAAAAACTTAGAAATCTTGGACAACCAAAATGCAAATTGAAAAAAGACCCAGATCATGAAAACATAACAACAAATTACCCATATCAAAGAATGGAAAAGCGTCAAGAAAACACATGAAATCAGATAAAAAACATAATATTGGATAAAACATGAAGAGGGTGAGAAAGGGAACCGACATGTATGAAGATATTCGCATATGGTAGTGGCCTCATAGTAGTGCTTGTCGCTGAGATTGGAACATATCCATGTGTCTTGAGTTGTGTGCATAGAAATGCTGTTGGTAGACTGAATGTACGTAAACTTGTAATCGTATTTCCAGAACCATTGACACATTTGAACTATCATCTTCCATTGAGAAAAAGTGCCACTCACTGAGAATTGAGAAAAAAGGGAAAAAAGAACATAACCCAAAACCATCAACTTCTTGAAACCAAAATACAGCGAAAACACAGTACTTTATTCATGAACAAAACCAACCCCAGAGAACAATAAAATTATTAACTTCCATTGGCATATATATATATATATATATAGAATTCTGAAAGCGATGAGAAAGATAGGATAAACCCAAACCCCTAGCCACGATCCCTCCTCCTCTCCCTCAAATCCCGATGGCCCCCGTGCTTTTCTCTGACTGTCCCCCCTCTCCCACTCATGAAATCGAGGATCTGCAGCAATGGTGATGAGATCCCCACTCCTCCCTCTCCCTCTCTCTCTCTCTATCACTCTTTCTCTGTCTCTCTCCCTCTCTCCCTCTCCCTCTCTATCCATCTCCCTCTCCTTCTCCCTTTCTGTCTCCCTCTATCTATCTCTATCTCTATCTCTACCTCTATCTCTATCTCTATCTCTATGACCTCCCATCCCTGAAACCCTCACCGAGCAATGAGCATTAACAAACAAACATGCACAAATCTCATAGGAAATTGGTAAGAACTAATCCTAATTGAGAAAAAAAATCAGAAAACCAGAGGACACAATTGGAGTCTAATTCTACAGAACCCATGACAAAAAAATATCCAAAATTAACAAATTACATTAACAACATTCCAACAAAAGTAAGAAGACCAGAAAAATTATCTATTCTAAAGTAACTTAGTTCCATCATGCATAAATCACTCTTTCTCTGTCTGTCTCCCTCTCTCCCTCTCTCCCTCTCCCTCTCTATCCATCTCCCTCTCATTCTCCCTTTCTGTCTCCCTCTATCTATCTCTATCTCTATCTCTATCTCTATCTCTATGACCTCCCATCCCTGAAACCCTCACCGAGCAATGAGCATTAACAAACAAACATGCACAAATCTCATAGGAAATTGGTAAGAACTAATCCTAATTGAGAAAAAAAATCAGAAAACCAGATGACACAATTGGAGTCTAATTCTACAGAACCCATGACAAACAAATATCCAAAATTAACAAATTACATTAACAACATTCCAACAAAAGTAAGAAGACCAGAAAAATTATCTATTCTAAAGTAACTTAGTTCCATCATGCATAAATCAAGGGAGTCATGGAAGGCCAGTATCTAGGTAATCCAACATATTACAGCATTCAAACACAGACTCAGAATTACAAAACGCATGAAAATTCACATTCCAACGTGTTATGCAATCACCAATTTCAGATCAACCAAAACCAAATAAATTTATTAGTACGCATCAAACCCACCAAACCCAAAATCAAAAGAAGGTGATCAAATGTTTGATTTTGCTAAATATTACAAAATAAAATAAATAAGAATATGGAAAAATCAGCATGCATACCTTGTAGCGGTACAGGGAACAGTAGCGTGAGCTGTATCAAGGGCATGTGTACTGGGAAAATTGCTACTGGCAGCTGCAATTAACAAAAACAAAACAAAAAAAAAAATTGAAAAAATCAAAATCGGGAATTTTTCCAAAAAAAATAAATAAAACAAATTATCAAGCTTTGTTGATGAAAGAGAGGTGGTGTTCTTGAGAAGTCAGAGCCTTTGGAACCTTTGGAACAGTTGCAGAGCTTCTCTGAGAAGTCGGAGCCTTTGGAAAAGTTCGGGAGCTTTTCTGAAAGGCTGAAGCTTCAGCTGTCCGGGAAGCGTGCTTGCAATGGGCGTATCAGAACCTCCTACATTAAATCAGTAGAAGGAAAAACATTGCCAAGAAATGAAAATCAAACAAAATGGGCAACTCAGATGTTAAAAAAGAACACAATTATCTAATATTCCCGAACTCCTTCAAACACATACATTTTCTAGACTAAAAGAGAACTGATACTTAGAAATCTGTACCATGTAATTGGGGATGTACACGGGCTCCATTTTGTACAACGTCGTGTTGCGCAGAAGCAATACTGGAATCCTTCGTGTTTACAGTGGCTACACTTGCCTTGGCTCCTCCTTGTGCATTGTTAATATGCTTCTTAAAACTGAATATTTGAAATAAAAATCATCAAACCCTAAAATTTCCAACAATCTCAAAAATTCCAAAACAAACGTATTAAAAACCTCAATTTGAAATCCTAATCCAAAGCAATATAAGTGCATAGATTGTTAAAAATGATCAGGAACAAACCCTACAAAGACACATATGCAAATAAGTAGATTTGACAGATATATATACATATATGCACCTGCGGTTGGAGGAGATGGAAGGGCCAAGCCCACCGGCGCGGGTGCCCATAGGGTGAGCGGGTCCTGTGAAAAATATGAAACCTTGTGAGAGTGATGCAACCACTCAATCTCCTCTCTCCCCTTGAATCGTACACCCCTATGACTGTCTACCTGCAAGCCATATGCCTTCCCCTCACCAAATCCCTATCTCTCTCCCTCCCGCTCTTTCTCCTGACGGCATGGTCTCACCGAGTCCCTCTGAAGCTCACAGAAAGAAGGGAAATGAAAGTCTCCCTAACCCACCCAATCCGTTCGAAACCCTAGACTCAAAACGACCATCGCACCCCTGCCTAACCACGATTATCAACACGCGGCATCATGATCAACGGCAGACAGAGTCAGTGGCAACCTCGTAAATAAAGTGAAATTCGGCCTAAAACACTGTTCATTTCTACAGTGCAATTTTGCCAGCTTCTTTAGACTAAAGTAATTCTCACTAGGGATAATGCCAATTATATATTAGGGTTATGTATATGTGGCTGTATGTGTTACGAAGATATTTTTGAAGTGTGTGCATGAGGTTTAACAACATTATCCATCGTAAGACATTCCTCTCCCTTCATTTCCCGTAAAAAGGATTTGGTTAATTAATTACTGGAATAATCTAAATGTCAGCATGGTTATGGAGAAGCAAGTCAAATAAAAAGTTGCACGCTTCTCACTTTAACTAATGTCATGTCTAGTATATATACTCTTCTCACTCTCCCATCAACATCACTACCAAAGTGGGGATAATTATCTAAAGTCGATTAATGAAAACGATAAGCAAAACAACACAAGTTCATACGGGATTGTAAGTTATAGCCTAAAGGGAGATGATATCATAAACACGAAAGTCTCGGTTCTATCATAATGTGTACCCATGAAAGTCCTTCTCGGTTTACAAATTAACACGAGGTGGTGCATGTCTCGATCAGTAGTTGTGCAACCTGCTGAAAGCTGCAGCTATCCTTATAACTTAATCAGATAATGGTTTAATTTACTTCATGGGGCACTTAAAAAAAAAATCTCACCCCAGTCACCTCCTTCAAATAGATAGAAGGCTGCTCTTGTACTATATTTTATGTCAGACCACGAACAGTTATATTTAGTTTAATAATAATTTGTATATGTTATCCACTAATGAATTGTGAAACGTCGTTAATCGTTATCCTTAAGCCACTATTGCATCCTTAGTCTTAATCCACGTTTATTTATTTTGTTGCTTTAATCTGTTGCCGTATTTGAAGAAGACGATGATCCAACTCAACCTAATGTCATGTAGCTTTTGAGTTTTCCTGGATTATGTTAATGTTAATTTCTAATTACGCCACTCACGTCAATATTTTATATAAACATTCATACATTTCGGGTTTACACATACCATATGTTATTTTAATCTTAATTAGAGGAGGAATTGATCCAACCCTTTTCAATTTCTGTGTCTGCGAAGTTAGATCCACGAGCTATTTCATTACCAGGAGCGTGAATTCGGGGATTTCTGGTCATGACGGGACAGAATTTAGTTCGGATAATATGCCATGCATGCACGTAAAAGATGACGGAAAGTGTCATTTGATTTGAAGTATAATTATTCGAATTATATCTATTTTCTCGTAAGAGATGGAAAGTTAAGGTTTCAGCATTAAACCAATTGACAAATAGAAAGTAGCTCAACTTCTTATAAGTCCTTGTATGAATTGATTCCTCACCGTCATGGGACTTTGTACTCACATTCTCACATGCTCCCTTACATGCAACGAGTTTTCAAGTCTAACACGTAAACAATTCAAATTAGATGACGTAGAATGCTTGTGGCTATTGGGCTTTACATGTGTGCCAACCTACTTTGAAATTGAAGTTCAACTATAAAACCAATTGACAATATGAGAAGTAGAGTACATGCAAAATTTCTTCTTTTTTCCGATTTGATATTCACTCTCAACAAGATGTGTTCAGTGCTGTGATTGATATACAATTTGTAGCAAACTTATTCAAGATACCAAACTTTAAAATCTGTGTGAGAGTTATATCCATAAGTATTTTATGTGGTGCCTGGTACATATACATATAAGGATATTCGCGCATATTTTTTCTCTTTCTACAAACTCCTAGTTATTTATTTATGTTATTTAATTTTTTTTATTTATTCAAAAAGTAGACAAAAAATAAACATAAATGTATAAAGAGAGGGAAAATATGTGTGCAAATCAATTCTCTACGTATGTACACTCAACTTTTCAAAATCATATCACAATTTGATGAGGTTGTGAAGTCTAGCTTTTGTATTGATACCTTTTTGCTTTGTAATTGACGTTTTCAGAATATGTAAAACTTTACTCCGTTTAAAAGTTGGTGAAATAATTGACCCTCTTTTAAAAACCCAAAGTAATTGACCCTATTTAAACATATGCTATATACTCAGTAAAAAGACATCATCATCATCTTCTTTATCTCAGGATTGATGGTTTATCAATATAACATGGATGCCTAATTAAATTATAGTAAATATTAGTGGACGGGATCAATGGAGAGAAGCCGAATTTATGTGCATGGGGCACATAGGTCGATGGCTGCTTATCACCCAACTTGATCCCTTTGTTTTAATGGATGTCGGCTTCCATTTGAGAGGCTCCCTTTTTGTTATTGTTGTACATGTACATGATGAAAATAAGGGAGATAAAAATAACAAACATCAGTTTTTTATTTATTTATAAAATATTATAGTACAAAATATTCATGCATAATGATAAGGCCTATTTTTTTAGAAAGAATGTCAACAATGTGATTAGTTTTGTGTTTCTAAATACAAAAGTTCTTGATAATTATAGTTGATGTAGAATTGGAACAACATCTTAGATTGGTGAGTTTCGGCGTGAATAATGATTTCTAGATTGCTAGTGTCTTTTACAATGAACCATGTTTTTGGACTTTACGAAGTTTGTTTCTAAATCAAGATATCTTTTTGGAAAGGGAACAACGAGATATGAATCAAACTAGTCTCCCACAACATATGATGAATTTTGGGAGTTTAATAACGTTTAGTGGGTCAAAATTAGGAGTGGATTTAGTTCATTTTGGTTTGATTTTTAGCCAAAATAACAACTTGAAATTACTATTTGGTTCAGTTCTTGCAATTTGTAAAGTAAATACCGAATTGTTTCAGTTTAGTTTTTTTTTTTTTTTTTTTGTTCAATTTCGTTTTTCTTCAAATTTTTATATTTTAAACCTAGAAATGAAGAAAAAAAATGTGGAGATTTAAGAAATGGGCCTGGATTGAAATATCAAATATAAGATAACTAGGCTTGAATTGAAATTAGTCTAATGGCTGACTTGAAAAATGAATATTCAACATAAATATAAAAAAAGGAGTATTATTTTATATCTCATTCACTTCAGTTCAATTTTTGAACCATCGAAATCGAAATCAAAACAACCACTAGATTTGGGTTTGGTTCGGAATTTTCGGTTTTGATATTCTACTCGGTTTTTCTCGATTTTTGGTTTTCCAAGCCCCTCCCCAATCAAAATGATAATTTCTTTCACTTCTCTGGCATACCAACTCTATCTAACGGTGATCCCACTTTAACCTATCACTTCTGTTGTGTCAATGATGTGTAATGAAAATCAAAATTAATTGACAATTTTAGAAAAGTGGTAATCTTTGGATGGATAAAATATGAACCCGCGTTCAATACGTTATAGTGATTTGTTAGTGCTTTAGTGACTCAAAACAATGGGCACTGAGCAACTTGCTTAATTAAAAATCTCTAAACCAACGATGAAATATTAATTAATTGGCACTAACGGTGCCCAGTATCTGTTCTCTCTTTTACTATTTATCCATCTGTCAGTCCAATCTTACATTTTCATTCCCTTGATCAAACAAATTCCTTGGGGGGGGGGGGGGGGGGGTGGTGTTGGGTGTTATTCATACACCATTATCAATTTTTAGTTCTCAGATCGAATGAAATAAAAAGAACAAAATAACAAAAATTAACAGAGAATGTGACCATAATGAATCACGACACGCAACATGTCAAAAGGAAATCCCTATTTTTATTTATTTTTTTTTTTCCCAACTAAACCGTACGAAAATGTTCTTGGTTTCGAATAATTTGGTCATCTAGAGTGGCCAATAGGATGAGCTTATATAAATATCCCCAATTGAAATATACAAATGGGAATGTTTGGTCAAAAGTTTCAGTATGCCGACAATTGGACTCACATGCATGCAGGAAGTTTGCGCTAGTGAGCTACAAATATACTTGCTGTTCATTGTTTGAATTAAATCACTTCATGGAGTCCATTAATCCTAGCCAGATTGATCCAGGTTTTATAGTAATCATGACTTGTAAAGCAAACGAGTCGGTTTGGCCTCGTGAGAAATTTTTATGACCATCATTAACACAAGTTACGTGATGTATTATTTTACGTATTATAATAAAAATGAACGATAAAATTAATATGTCTTATAACGTAATGTGGGCCGTGATCTAAGTATATCAAAAAACATTACCCGGCCCCATAACCATAATGTCATTGATCGAGAGTCCCACTTTGTCTGGGGCATTAGTGCCATTGATGCATTTCTTAGGTTTTCATGGAAACATGACATTGATGATGTTTGCTAATGGATTCGCAAAGCCAAATGTTATAAAATGATTACTTGGCCTAACCCTCGACCATGAACTTAATGTGCCCACCAAAAGATCGAACACTGCAACTTAAAAACATTTTATATAATGTCTATACTTATGAAGATAAGGTACAATACACAATTATATTATTGTCAGATAATTTGGCCTGATAAGTTATTTCATTGTATCATATACTTATATGTGATTCTATTTATATGTAATTCTACTGGACGAAGAATTCAAATTAATCCCAATAACATAAAGTACAAACAAATTCACAACATATAAACAACCTGTAAATGTATGTAAAGTAGGGAGGCTGGTCGCTGGTGAGGGAGTCCGGGTTCTCACCGGATGCTCTTTATGAGGATCCCAAAGATCAATGAATTGTATTTGTTTATTCTACATCGTACGGTCAGAAATTATTTTAAATATTTTTATTTAAAAATAGGGAATTGTTATTAGCACTCCAAAAATCTCATTCTATACTTCTCACAAATGTATTTTTCTTTCTAATTATAGAAAGTTTGGAGTGCCAAATGAGATTTTTGAAATGCTAATAATAATTCCCGAAAAATAAACATAAACAGTAATTGACAAAAAATGATCATATAATGTACGATAAACGGACACGATTCACGGATTCTCAAAATTCTCACCAAAAGATCCGGAGAGAATCCTATTGGCTGGGGAGGTAAAAGAGTCTTGTAAATTGTATATATAAATAATTGTAAGTTGTATATAAAAAATGATGGAAAATAATAGAAGGAAAACAGGCAGGCTCATGGAATATTGCAGCGCCAAAAAAGGGGACCTACGAAAGAATGCAGTGTTGACCATAAGCTAGACAACAGAGAACTCTCTCTCTCTTTGTTTCCACGTACATACGTCCTCTCATAGTATATACTTGTATACATATGGAGCTTTTAAATAGGAATTAGTTATGGGGTTCACACCACATCAAACTTTAATGATTCAAACCGTTTATTTTTCAAGTCACACCTCATACATTATCATTGCAAAATATTAGCCAAATCATAAATATTTAAGACATCTAATTGGATTTAAAAAATTAATGAAAACTTTGTTATATAAGAAACAATGAAATTTTATCTTGATAATTAAATAGGCAAATAATTTCGGATTGAATTGAATTTTTGCAAGAATGATCTATGAATTGAGATTTACAAAATAAACGGTTCGAATCATTAAAATTCGATGTAGAATGTACACCACACCTAATCCCTTTTTTTTGTTTTTTATTTTTTATTTTTTTATTTTTTTTATTTTATTTTATAATGAGAATCCCTTTGCATAAAGCGTTACCCCTATATATAGACATCTGTGGACATAGATTTATTCTCAAGTTTCAGACAGGAAAACCAATGCGAAACTATTTGTCACTACTCATATTCCTCTCTATCATTCTCTCTGTGTTCTCCGAAACCTTTCATTTCTTCCTAGCTAGCTAACCATGTCGAGGATACATCCGGCCGCGTCGTTCAAAGAAAGGGTTCATTATCAGGTGGAAGATGTTCATGTGCCTCCGTCTGTGCTCACTGTGTGGAAGAGATCTAGCATGAGTTTCCAGGGAACTGATGGATTTACAGTGTTTGACGATCGCGGAATTCTAACTTTTCGAGTAGACAATTATTCAAGGAAGAACTGTTGCGTTAGAGGAGGGCTTATCCTCATGGATGGAGCTGGAAGAGCCTTACTAACCCTCAAACCCCAGGTAATTATTTGTCATCAAATCCTCCTCTTCATTGTAGTATGCATGTTTAGTAACCAATTCGAATTTATATGAGTTATAACATAAGTGAATTAAATCAGTTCATCAGAGCAGTACGCTTGTTTCTCCTTATATCATATGAAACATGAAAGCTTATTCAAATCCATTATTGTAATGAACAGATGTTGAGCTTGCAAGATCAATGGAATGCATATAGAGGAGAAGATGGATGTGGAAAGAACCCTAAATCTAGCAGAGTCTTCACCATGAAAAGTGGATCAAATCTTTTTGGCAGCAGAAATAAAGGCGAAGCAGCAGAGGTGTTCATGGGAGGGCCCACAAGCTCAAATAGTGCACCAGATTTCATAGTTGAAGGTTGTTTTAGGAGAAGAAACTGCAAAATCAGAGATTGCAGTGGAAAACTTGTGGCCACTGTGTCTAGAAAACGAGTAAATAATTCAGTCTTGCTTGAAAACGACGTGTTCAGCTTGGAGGTGCAACCTGGATTTGATCTTGAATTAATTATGGGTTTTGTAATTGTTTTGGATCGGATTTGTGGGAAGACATTTACGCCGATTTTGTGTTCTTGATTTACCTTGTGATGTACAGAAATAATCCCATATAAAACTGGATACTTTTTTACCCCACTGAATCTTATACTTTGTAGAGGAGCCATCACTCCAATTTTCTTGTATTTAATTAAACAAGGAGTTTGCAAATCTAAATGCAAGGCAGTTGGTTAGGACAGTATATCCGTCGCATTGTTTAAATTGCAATTTTTGTAAATAAGCATAGTTTAGAACATCGCTCGCTTCTTTTATGAAGAAATAAAAGAGTTCAATCTTGCTTAATTAAGAATCTCTAAACCAACGATGATATATTAATTAATTGGCACTAATGGTATATGTTCTTCCTTTTACTATCTATCCATCTGTCAGTCCAATCTTACCGTTACATGTACATTCCCTAAATCGGACACATTTCTTATGGATTATTTCCCATGGCAATTAGTTCTTTTTAAAGAGTTTTTATGGCCAATTAATCGGCTAACTACATATTATGAATGGGTAGAGTTATCCATACATCCCTCTCTAATTAATCGTCGGATCGAATAAATTAAAAAAGATCAAAGAACAGAAATTAATAAAGGGTGCGTGGATGACGTCACGCATTATGAATCACGACACACAACATGACAACAAGAAATCCCTTGCTTGCCAACTAAAACCAGACGAAAATATATTCTTGGTTTCGAATAATATTGGTCATGTAGAGTGGCAAATACCAAATAGGATGTTTAGCTTAAATTAATTATATAATATCCCCAATTGAAATATACAAATGGGAATATCTGGTGCAAAGTTTCAGTATGCCGACAAATGGACTCACATGAACGCAGGAAATTTTGACTAATGAGCATCAAATGTACTTGCTTAATTGCTGCTCATTGGTTGAATTAAATCACTTCATGGAGTCCATTAATCCTAGCCAGATCGATCGAGGTTTAAAGTAATCATGACTTGTAAAGCAAACGCGTCAGTTTGGCCATGAGAAATTTTTAAGATCATCGTTGATAACACAAGTTACGTAATGTATTATTTTACGTATTATAATAAAAGTGAACAACAAAATTAATGTCTTATAACATAACGTGGACAGTGTTCTAGGTATATCAAAAACATTACTCGGCTCCATAACCAAAATGTCATTGATCGAGAGTCACTCTGTCTGTGGCATTAGTGCCATTGATGCATTTCTTAGGTTTTCATGAAAACATGACATTGATGATGTTTGCTAATGAACCAAAATGCCATTGATCGAGAGTCCCACTCTGTCTGTGGCATTAGTGCCATTGATGCATTTCTTAGGTTTTCATGAAAACATGACATTGATGATGTTTGCTAATGAATTCACAAAGCCAAATGATATAAAATGATTACTTGGCCTAACCCTCGACCATGCACTTTATGTGCCCACCAAAAGATCGAACATTCCAACCTGAAAACATTTTATAAGATGTCTATACTTATGAAGATAAGGTGCAGTACACAATTATATTATTCGTCAGATAGTTTGGCATGATAGGTTATTTCACCATCTATTACGATTATACATTTATATGTAATTTTACTGGACGAAGAATTCAAATTGGTCTCGATACCATAAAGAACCAGATTATGTGACACAAAAAATAAATTTACAACGTACAACCAACCTGTTAATATATGTAAAGTAGGTAGGCTAGTCACTGGTGCGGTCACAGAGTCTTGTAAATTGTATATAAATAATTGTAAGTTGTATATAAAAAATGATGAAAAAGAATAGAAGAAGGAAAACAGCCAGGCTCCATAGTAGAGATTGCAGAGTTGAAAAAGCTGGGGACAGACGTAAGAAGTCAGTGTTAACCAGTTAGCTAGACAACAGAGAACACAAAACTCTCTCTCTTTGTTTCCACGTACCTACGTCCTTTCACTGTATGTACCAATATATATATATATATAGGCTCCTACCTCTATACATGGACGGAGCTAATGAAGGCTCATTGGGGGCATATGCCCCCACTCAAGTGATTTGTTTGTTAAGTTGTAGATTACAATTATATAATACACACGCGTTATCTTTGAAGAAAATATATGTATCTAATATCCAACATATCTTTATACTGCATGTACTCCATATTAAATATTATATGAGTAAAAGTGCTCTTATTTTGTCATTCAAACTGAAAAACCTCTCCCGCGTAATCATGTATTAATATTTTTCTTATCACTTTGTCACTTTCTACTACTACATTGAAATTTTAGTAAGATTGGAATTGTGATGCATCATCATTTGAAATCATCCCTGTTATCATATTAGGTATAAGTCATACTATAATAAGGTTTTCTTAGTTGATTTTCGGATTGCCCCCACTAGAAGAAATTTCTAGCTCTGTCCTTGCCTCTATATATACACACATATCTTTGGACATAGTTTTATTCTCAAGTTTCAGACAGCAAAACCAAAGCTAAATCATTTGTCACTACTCATATTCCTCTCTATCATTCTCTCTGTGTTCTCCGACACCTTTCGATTTTCTCTATCTAGCTAACCATGTCGAGGATACATCCGGCCGCGTCGTTGAAAGAAAGGTTTCATCATCAGGTGGAAGATGTTCATGTGCCTCCGTCTGTGCTCACCGTGTGGAAGAGATCCAGCATGAGTTTCCAGGGAACTGATGGATTTACAGTGTTTGACGATCGTGGAATTCTAACTTTTCGAGTAGACAATTATTCCAGGAAGAACTGTTGCGTTAGAGGAGGACTTGTACTCATGGATGGAGCTGGAAGAGCCTTGCTGACCCTCAAACCCCAGGTAATTATTTGTCATCAAATCCTCCTCTTCATTGCATTATGCATGTTTAGTAACCAATACGATAAATATAGTTCAAACTTATACGAGATAACATACATGAGTTAAATCAGTTGATTAGAATAATAATTTCGTTTCTCTGTATATCATATGGTACATGAAAGCTTATCCAAATCCATTCTTGAAATGAACAGATGTTGAGCTTGCAAGATCAATGGAATGCATATAGAGGAGAAGATGGATGTGGAAAGAACCCTAAATCCAGCAGAGTGTTCACCATGAAAAGTGGATCAAATCTTTTTGGCAGCAGAAATAAAAGTACACCAGCTGAGGTGTTCATGGGAGGATCCACGAGCTCGAATAGTGCACCAGATTTCATAGTTGAAGGTTGTTTTGGGAGAAGAAACTGCAAAATTCTAGATTGCAGTGGAGAACTTGTGGCCACTGTGTCCAGAAAACGAGTAAATAATTCAGTCTTGCTAGAAAACGACGTGTTCAGCTTGGTCGTGCAACCTGGATTTGATCTTGAATTAATTATGGGTTTTGTAATTATTTTGGATCGGATTTGTGGGAAGACATTTACCCCGATCTTGTGTTCTTGATTTACCTTGTGATGTACAAAAATAATCCCATATAAAACAGGATACTTTTGTACCCCACTGGATCTCATATTTTGTAGAGGAGCCATCACTCCCATTTTCTTGTTACTAAGTAAACCAAGAGTTTGCAATTCTGGATTAAACCAGTTGGCCATGACATTGTGCTTGTCGGTTTGTTCAAATCACAATTTTTGTAAATTATGTACATACTTTAGATCGTCGTTCTCTTTGAGACGCGTCATGTGAGCGGCAAGTGATATGTACGTGTGAGAGAATATACGTATACTACCGCCTTGCCCAAGCCGAAACTTTTCGGTGTATTTATCCCAAAGGGCAAAGGATAGCCATACACAACTGTTTGTTGATCGACTTATACAGGATGCACATGGCATGTTATGGAACAGCTGGTTGTTCCAGCGCCACACATGTTACTAACAATGCCAAACATGTCTATACAGGACAAGTTTTCGACAACGAAAAGAAGTAAACCAAACTCGGAGAGATTACCTCGTAACTTGATGTCTAAAGATTATTCCTTTTTTGGGAAAGATATGGCACAGAAGGAAAATCAAACTAGTTTTTCTCAAGTTCTAGAGGTTGTGGATTGAATCCGAAAATATCGATCTATACAACAAAAATATTGCTGCATGACAAGACTCGGGAATCGCATGTGATAATAGGATCTGTGAAAAACATCATGTGAATGTACCAAAACTCAGCTGTGTCATCTGTGAAGTTAGTACTACTTGGTGAAAGTACCAAAATAACAGGTACACCCAACGGCTAGCCATGTATTGGCCTCAGAGATCTACGTCTATCAGTCACCGGAAACATAAGCCTTGCCTTCGTAATACCTTTTCTCACTTGCTGCCTTTTTCTCGTTACGTTTCTGCAGGAAAAGATATAGTGATAAGCCATATGTTTGAAGCATGCTAAGCAGATTTCAAAACAATATCAACTAAAACATTTGTTGAACATAAGAATGCTTTATGTTTATAACGTTGGAAGTTTCATTATATATGATGGGTCCACATTTGAACAAGAGTATTGCGAGGAAGTTCAGGTATAGGGGGAAACCTGGTATGCTTCATGATTGGATACAATCCTTCTAATTATCGTGGAAGTGGTGATATCAAGCGAGCTATCCAAAACTTTGAAGATGCCCAAACTGATTGGGACTTCATATGGATTGCCTTCTTCCTGCAAAATAAAAATGTCTAAATAACCAACGCATCTTGGCGGCTCCAGAATTAAAGCTACCGAAGTAAATATATCAGCGTTAGGACCTTGTTTTGCAATTTACCTTTTCAAAGTTGCTATTCTCTGCTACTGTTCCATGGACCACTAAGGAGATGTTAAAGGTTGTGAGCTGCAGCAATAAAACATTCCAGAAAGAATCATATAATTATAAATGTGAGCACTGTTTTAAACAAGTGAAGTTCACAAAAATATGGAAAGTACTCAAATGAGATTACTGGTAGACCCAAATTCTAGTTCAAGTAACATTAAATGTTTGGGGGGGGGGGGGGGGGGTTTTGAAATTAACTATATCCAACTTCCCGAATAAGAAAATTTTGTGACGAAAAGAAATAACCATAAGGAAACCAGAAGAATACAGGAGAAGAATGAAGGCTGACTAAAAGCATAATTAAGCAAACTCAGGACCAAATGTAAGACAAGCTCACCATGTCTTTTGAGATTTCCCATGGAGAACCGATTATAACCTCATCCACATAGCGGCAAGCCAAAACACTTAGGCTTCTTTCGTGAAGGTTCATTATTGGGCGATGTGCTCCTCTATTAGCACTGCAATGCAAATATTAGAAACAGCTATTACTAGTGGATTTTGAAATCTAGTATATAATGCAATAAAAGGATTTGTACTTCGAAGAAGAAAATAAAAACCTAATGAGAGTGCGCAATAATAAATTAACATATATACAAGGTGGACATTCATGAACTGAAGTATTAGTGAAATATATAAAGTTTTGGGTTCAATCGCAACCAGGAATTGAAATAATACACATATGGTGAGAGCAAAGTGGCATTTTTATGTGATACCAAAATGCACACAAGGCAGGGAAACGGGTGCAAACAATAAAGGTAGATTAAGTAAATCAAATTTCATGAAAGATAAACTGATGCTCAGCCAAGTTTTCCAAAGTAGTGACAAGCGACAAGGTTCTGTTCAATGAGAAAACCTAGAACACTTGGTATAAAGTGACTTATGAAGTCATTTGCTTTTCATGCGACGAGATAATATACACACACATGCGTGTGCAGGACATTCTGCTACAATTGTATGTTTACTATTGGATTTGATTTTTAGCATTGTCAAACTCTATATGGTTCTAAAGTAGATTCAAGTGATTAAAGGGTTATTGGTTGTAGAAATTAACATGTGAGAGTGAGAGTAAGATGGAGATAGTACCTGACAGTCTGATCAGTGTGTATTCCAACAAGAAGAAAATCCCCAAGCTCTCGTGCTTTCCTTAAGATCTATATGAAAAGGAAGGCCATGTAACCAAAAAGTAAGTTTTTTCTCCCTTACTAGCTTATCAAATCTAAAGCAAATTTTGGAAAACAAGAGAAACAGACAAGAAGACCATAATAGTAGAATGAACAGAAAACAATCCTACATCTAAGAAAAACGGTGCAGATGTGTAAGTGTGTCTGTGTTGTTTGTTTGTGTGTTCGTGTTTGTATTTGTGTCTGGAAGAGTACTGTAAGCGAAGTAAAAGCTAAATATATGTGAGTAAAATCATCCACATTACCTCCACATGTCCAGCATGGAAAAGATCAAATGCACCATCTATATAAACTATGCGCGCGTCAGACTGAGGCCCCTGCATTCAGGCATAAAGCATTCATTAAAAAGTGACAAAGCGTAGTAATTCAAGGCCAAGTATACGTGACACAGAAATCATGAATTGTCTTTCCTTTTTCATATGCCTTGTTTATAAAGAAACAAACTTCGGAATCTAGGTGAGCGATTGAAGAAAAAAATTGCTCTATTTCAAATAACCAGTAGGGATACAGTTACGGAGACAAAATTACCTTTCCGTTTGAAAACTGAACAATTCTCCGAGATGTCGGTAGGAAATGAGACACACGGGTTCCACTTCCAGATCCACGATCTTCGAACTTCTGACTGTGACCGTGGCTGAATTGTCTTTGCAAGGAAGAGTGATGTTGGTTCTCATTAACAGATCTCTCTCTTACACAGAGAAGCATACGCCCTATTACAAGGAATTATCAAATAATAAAATTAGACTAACAAATTCAAACTGCCGCAATAACAGAACTATACAACCGTAACTCTATACAGAACATCAGTATTTAATCAGCTCCTCTCCTAGAAATGGAACTAACCAACAATGTCGGTGCTGGAGACGCCTTCTGTCCGTTTGATCTGCTTGTAGCGGCCGGCCTTCTTCGCAAGAGCATAAGCATCGGTCCCATCAGGAAGCACACATGGGTCATCCCCATGAATGATATAGTCTATATTGTATTCATCAAACAGCTTCTTCATGAACTCTTCGGTTATAGCATAGGGTGCATCCGGAATCACCTCATCAACCCATTTCACAGCATTAACCATAATCATCCTAATTAACAAGGTAATTAGCTAAACCACACATTCACATAACCCATAATTATGAAGCTAATCAGCTGATCAACACAGAAAGTTGGTACCTTTCGTTGAGAGGAGTCACAGGGGGGCCTTTATTGACGATGATTTCGGCGTCGCTGACGACTCCGACCACTAATTGGTCGCCGAGGGCACGCGCCTGACGGAGGGCGTTGCAGTGGCCGTAGTGCATCATGTCGAAGCAGCCGTCCATGTAAACCCGGACGGGTCTGTTCTTCTTCCTCCGCCATGGAAGTCCCAAAGGAAGCTGAGGTCCGCCGCGTTCTTCTGAGCCCAGAAGCGAAACCCCGACGCCGACCCCCACCGCCACCACCACCCCGCCTACGAGACCCGTGGCTACAAACCTCGCCCAGCTCCGCGCGTTCTCTGAGTTCCCATCTTCCATACCCATCTTGAATCTTCTGAAATTTGCCAAATCAAATCAAAACGAAAGAGATTGCTTCGGTCATTTGATTCAACCCAACATTTCCTTCGGAGTATCGAATCGAAAAATCGAAGAAAGTCGGCAACTTTTTTTATTTGCAACTGTTGGGTTCTGTTCGGGGGTTCCCCTCACTTTTCTCTCTCTCGCTCAATTTTCACTCTTTCTTTTTCTGTGCGGCGGGTGATTCTTGGGCTAGGCCTAAAGCGCTGTGCTTCTTCGCCGTTGGATCAAACACGGACGGTTTGAGATTTTGGATTGAGGCAAAATAGTTTCGCGTTGAAACGGGTTAAGTGAAACCCATATTTCGCGGACCCATCTCTTTCTCTCTCATCCGTCTTTCACATGTCTGTGCACCCAAATTCTTCATATCTGCAATCCTCGTCGCCCTTTTTCGTTTCCGAGTCAAAGATGATTCGACGCTGACGAAACCGGTGATATCGAGGATGCTTTGTTTGCACGTGTATCTCAAGGGTTGCAACTTTTGGATTGAATTGGACTTGTAGTACTCGTGGGTTGCTTTCTTTTCTGGTGCACTTACAGTAGGTTTTGGTTTAATGTTGCCAGTTCGGTTCTTTTTGGCTTTGCATTTTTGTTTCTGTCTTCCAGATTTGTTGTGTTTATGTTGTTGGTGTTCATTTTTCCTTTGCATGTTACATTGTTGCAGATTCGTGCAGTTGGCGGTCCAAATCCGCAGACGAAATTCTGGAAGCAAGACCGTGAATTGCAAAATTTTGCTTCGTTAGGTACAGTACAATCCTTGTGAGTAGTATAGATTGGAAACCAAGCTTGATGCGTACCTATCTTGTTTTTTTTTTTGTTTCTTTTTTTTTTTTTTTTTTTTTTTTTTTTTGTTTTGTTTCTGAATACCCTCAGAAGCTGACAGCCTGGCTTTAACACTGCATCTTGCCATGAGAGGTCCTAAGAGTACGTACTATTGCTGGGAAGAGTGCCCGCAGCAGAATAAGCCGGTAATCCCCCTCAGGAGCAGTACCGCCTTCGGTTAATATCTGTCACTCGATACGAGTAAGAAGATCATCAGCAACAACATCAAGTTGGCCATCATCAAAATTGATGAACAGCAATATCGATGATCTACCGGACTCGTTATGGGTTGAAATCCTTTGTCAACTTCCTTCTTATAAGTACGTTTCACAATGCAAGTGCGTTTCCAAGCGTTGGTGCACTCTCATTTCAGATCCTCATTTCATTGGCCGTTTTCTATACCTCCAAAGGGATCGTAAGCAAAAGCCAATAACTACTGCAATAAATTCAGAAGGGGAGGAATTCCTTAAAAGAATGTCCCCGTCCTCTAAACCGTTGAATCAGCTTTTCCAAAGACTTGTGAGTTTCCACACTTTGAAACAAGAGCCAGTTGTGGCAGGTACGTATAATGACTTAGTTCTGTGCTGCGCAAGCGAGTTTAACCAGCGGGATTACTACATCTGCAATCCATACACAACCAGTGGGTTCCTCTTCCTCCCCCACCACAAGTGTGCGCATTTGTACTAGTGGGATTCATCTGTGATCTTCCCTACTATAACAACGAGGAAGATTATCAGCCAGGAGATATGATCCAGCTTAATGCGGAGTATAGGTGCAGAGTTGTGAGATTAATGGATCCTGATGATGGTGATGACGACTACGACGTAGAATATTCCCTCGAATTCAAAGTGCAGATCCTCTCTTCTGAGACTGGTGAATGGAGGGAGACAACTGTATTATCTGCGTTCAACTTTAGTTTGAAAAAAATGAGTCCCAGT